GTTGCTCCACGTCCTCCAAGAAACGACGCAATGCACTGAATACAAGTGTACTGGACCACCTCATTCACAAGGGGTTGTTAAAGGGATTCTCCAGTGCCAGGAAAACATATTCATTTTCCTGGCACTGCAGGACCTTCTAGTGCCCCTCTACCTCCCACCCCCCATCCCAAGTTACACTCCTAATGCGCATACGCGGCCATCGGCGAGGGAAACCTAATGCGCATGCACGCCAATGTCTGCGCACGCGCATTAGACCTCCCCATAAGAAAAGCACTGAATAATGCTTTCAAAGCTTTCCTATGGGGATTTTGGCGACGCTGGAGGTCCTCACATAGCGTGAGGACCTCCAGCGTCGTTTTAAACCACTTTTCATGTTCTATGAAAACGGAAGTCTCCTCTAGTGGCTGTCTAGTAGACAGCCACTAGAGGAGGACTTAACCCTGCAATGTAAATATCACGGTTGATGAAAACTGCAATAATTACACTTGCAGGGTTAAGGGTAATGGGAGTTGGCACCCAGACCAGTCCAATGGGCAGAAGTGGTCTGGGTGCCTTGAGTGTCCCTTTTAATGGAGACAACGCAGATGCCTGTCAGCACTGAGGAAGACTCCATTAGGAGTTGAAACGTGTATGCTGTATCCAGGGGCTGTGTTTTGAGGACTATTTTTGCAATTTTTACTTATAGCATGTTGGTTTTTATTTTAAACTGCCTATTACTATATCTGATTGTAGACCTCTACTTCCTATATGTTTTATATTTTTTTTTTTTTTGCATAAATATTAATGTATGCTATTTTTTGCTACATTCTGAGATGCCGTGTTCCTGGACTGGGTGTACATCCAAGCCTGTATAGGCACCTTTGGAGTCTACTATACAGAGCCTTATATGGCCCTACTCTTGTGGTAAATTAAAACACCCTTTGTAACACCAATTGTTTTTTTGTTTTGTTTGTTTTTATAGGGGCACCAACCCACCTATCCTATTTGTACATCTCCCTTGTCACCCCCTCCCCTTTCCCCCAACACACACACACAAACCCACATACCTCAGTGTACCCCAGGTAAGAGAAAAAAACGCAAAATAAAAACATAGCTGACTTTGACAATGTTACCAATTCAGCCAATTTGGTCTAAAACCTGAAATTCACATTCTAGTGAATATTCCTGCACATATTCCGTCAAAGATATACAGTACATTTGTGTGATAAGTAAATTTGAATATGCATAATTAGAATACAATTGTAAACGGTAAAATATTGAAATAATTCTGCAATTGACAGCTAATTAACTAACTTACTTAACTGTGAACAATAGTGACATTTTGTAACCAATGTTCTAGTGCTGAAACATGTTTTTGCTGTTTTTGTTTCTCTCCTGACTATTTCATTAGAAAGTTTTTCATCCAATAAACACAATTAAATTAAATGTGCCACATAAAAGCTTTTTCACGAAGATTCAGTACCTACCATTGCTGCATGTGAAATACACACTGGGGTATAAAGCATGTCTGCACCAGAAGGTCTAGGGCAGGGGTGCCCAAAAGGTAGATCCCTAGATGTTGTAGAACTACAACTCCCATGATGCTTTGCATGCCTTTAGAATGCTTTAAAATCGCAAAGCATCATGGGAGCTGTAGTTTTGAAATATCTGGGGATCTACCTGTTGGGCACGGGCCCACAGATGCATTTTAAAGTATAGAGGGTGGGAGCCAAGAGTTGAGTGAGTCATAGAATGACATAAAGTGTTAGTAGATTGCAGTCTGCATCATGTGCTATGGTGGATGATAACCTGTGATATCACATCCCTGTAGCGATGTATCCACAGAATATTTACAATTAAAAATAGGGTGCTGCGATGTCTTAATTGAAACAGCTTTCACAGAGCTTATAGCATATTGGTGTTTTGTTTTGATCTTAACCCCCTAAGGACCAAGGCTATTTTGATATGCAACATGTTTGTGACTTTTTAAAGCTTTTGCCATGCATTCATTTTACCACTATTTCACCCTTTCTGTTTAAGTGCACCCGTGCATAATATATATCCTTTTGGAATGAGAAATAATGCAGTATTTTGATGCCATATAGGTACACATAACACAATATTAAATATGAATAAAATAGTCAAACAAATGAACAATACATTTTCTCTGTTTTAAACTTCATTTCTACACAAGAGGAAAACTAACTCAAAATAGAAATACCAAATGTGTCTAGAATTGAATAAATTTTTAGAAGTTATAAAAAGTGAAAAAAAGGTAAAATTGGTAAAATTTGGCAATATTTTAAATTGTAATCACAGAATCTAAAACCACTACACAAATGTATACATTTGTAAAAAGTACATCCTTCAAGATATTTAATTAAGAGCATTTTGACACAAAGCTCGGTCAAAATATATATATATATATATATATAAATTTCGTGTTATTTTTTTCCAAAGTGTTTTATTTTGGGATAATTCGCAGACCACATGTGTCACACCAGCAGGGCCTGCCATCAGAAATTGTGGGGCCCCTAACACAGCTCAAGGTCCCAAGCCCCGCCTGCAAATTCCCACCCACAGCAATACACACGCACAGACACAAAAGGACACAGACACACACACAGAAAGATACACACATACTAACAGACACAAATACTTAGACATACACACATATAGGCACGTACACATGCATAAGGAGATACAGATACACACACATACTGACATACAGACACACACACTGACGTACATACATACTGACATACACACATATAAACAGACATCCTAGGCTTAGTTTTCACTGATTTGTCATGTGATGGGCTGGGATGCTGGGAACTTTCTCTTCCTATTCATCAAAAATGGAAAGAAATTGGAAGACAATTTTTTTCGGTGGTTCCCAGGAAGATAATCGGGGACAGCGGCAGGGTGGGCGGTCACAATTTTTGGTGGCATATTTGAAATGACTGCGGCTTCACTCAAGCTCAGCCATACTATTTAATGGGATTTAAAGGACTATAAGAAGCGCTCACTTTGAGCACTGCACATAGCTCTTCTGTCAATCTGTGGCCAAGGGCGGACTGACAGGTCGGGCAGATCGGTCATGAACCGAGGGCCCGAGGCAGTCAGGGGCCCGACAGCACAGAGATCTCCCCAGCCAGAACAACATGATTTCTCCGTTATTCCAGTGATATCATGCAGGGCCCCTGCAGCATATCACTCTGTGGTTTACCCCCCTCACCCGTTTCCCATCTCTCAGGGAGACCTGGCAGCCTCCAGCATGCGGTGCTGTGCTGTGTGAGGAGGAAGAGGTGGGGCCAGGAAGTGACATCACGTCCTGCCCTGCCTGAAGAGCACCCGCAGCCTGGCAGACAGCTCAGGTAAGCTAATTTTCATTCAGCTCAGCACCCCCTGTCTCCCTGCACCCACCTCAGCTCCCAGTACCCACCTTAGCCCCCACCTCTGCTCCCCTGTACCCACCTCAGCGCCCACATAAACTGCCCTGTACCCACCTCAGTACACACCTCAGTGCCCACATCAGCCCACAGTGCCCACCTCAGTGCCCACATCAGCCCCCAGTACCCACCTCAGCCCCCCAGTACTCACCTCAGTGCCCAC